TACACTAGTCACTTTTCATAACGGTCAATATTAAGCTAAACAAGCCTGCACTGACAAGGAGAATTAGAATGAAGTAAATACATATTTGGGTACAGGCTGTAACAGGCTATTATTGTGAAAGGTGTTGTCTAGCAATGTACTAGCCTATGTTAAAACATAAGCAGCACGAAAATGACAGTGCGAACATACAGGCATTATATAGCGGGTAAATTTGACCCACGCTGGCGCTTATTATAGGTATAAATGCCCCGTTTTTTGATCTGGTTTTATCTAAACAGTTTTTAACAACAGGGGATTGTAAATCACACAATTTTAGTAAAAGTCAGTGACTGTGAGACTTGAATGTTTTATTAAAGATATTTTATGTACGTTTTAAAAACAGCCACGGGTAAAATGTACCCCGTGGCGGTTCTAGTGTTAAACACGTGACAATGTTGAAACTATGTTGTATACGGTTTCTGTTGATTGTGTGACTGGTTTTTCATTAAATATGTCCCTGGACCACAAAACCAGTCATAAAGGTCAATTTTTCGAAAAATTATCTGAAAGCTGAATAAATAATTTCCATTGATGTATGGTTTGTTAGGATAGGACAATATTTGGCCGAGATTTTAAATCTGGAATCTGAGGGTGCAAAAAAATCAAAATATTGAGAAACTCGCCTTTAAAGTTGTCCAAATGAAGTTCTTAGCCATTCATATTACTAATCAAAAATGAAGTTTTAATATATTTACAGTAGGAAATTTACAAAATATCTTCATGGAACATGATCTTTACTTAATATCCTAATGATTTTTGGCATAAAAGAAAAATCAATAATTTTGACCCATACAATGTATTTTTGGCTATTGCTACAAATATACCCCAGCGACTTAAGACTGGTTTTGTGCTCCAGGGTCACAAATGATGGAGAAGAGCTTTATTGGCTCTGTAACTCTCTGTCTTGCCGGGAAATTGTCCTCAGAGTATCAGAGGTCATGGTCATGTATGGCTTTGTTCATCTATTTGATGCCACTTCGGTAAGTTTATTAATGTTCTTTAAACAAAGTTTGTATGCTTGAAAAATAGTCTTGTCATCTTTTAAGTTTTTTGTTTGGAGATATATGGACTGGGAAGGAAACATAAAGCTTCATAGCATTAGAATTATTAATTTCAAGCGGCCTGCTCTTTGTATCACACATATTGTGAATCCATTTTGATATTGTCAATTTTTTGATCATCCAAATGTGTTCTGATTGTAGGCTATTACAGGTGGCATTGTCAGAGGTGTTGGAAAGCAACTGCTTGGTGCTCTTTGTAACATTGTGGGATATTATTTTGTGGGATTTCCAATTGGAGTGTCCCTGATGTTTGCTCTCAACATGGGCATAATTGGTAATAAAGTGGATTGCTACATTAAAGCTACTTCATCATTTTGAAATATTGGAAATAGGAAGCTGTAATTTGTACAAATGTATGCTTCACCCTATGATTTTCTTTCAAACGTGGAATACCAAAAGAGACATTTATTTATTTCAATTTGAATGCCTTTCCATAGTACTCTCTTAAAAATAAGGGTTAAAAAGTGGTGTTTTTTCAGCAATGTCATAGAAGAATTATTTGCATTCCCCAAAGAACTTTTCAGTGAAGAGTTCTTAAAAGAATATTTTTTTCTTGGTGTGAAGAACATTTTAATAATCTGATGAAACTTCTTCTCAATAGAAGCTTTTGTGCAATGGAAAGATTCCATGGATGATAAAGCTTCTTCATTGAATCATAGATGCCAATAAAGAACCATTATTTTTAAGAGTGTAGATAAGAGGTTTCTTTATGTCCTGATGCCATTTGTAGTGACACAGCTATTTAACGCTGTACACTATTGCTCTATATAAGTACTGTAACTGAGCCAATAAACAACATTACCATGCTGAATACCTTTTTATTGTTAGGTCTCTGGATTGGGTTTTTTGGCTGTGTTTTCCTACAGTCCTTGTTCTTCATCATCCTCATTTGCAAACTGGACTGGAAAAAAGCGACTCAAGAGGTGAGACATTTTACTTCATCCACATCTATATAGTCTATTTGGATAGATAATGACTGCAGTCTTTATCTTCTTATTTTCAGGCTTTAATCAGAGCAGGTGTACAAGTCCCTGAGACCAAAGATGAATCTTATGCTATGGAAAATAAGGGCTATACAGAAGGTAGTTTCTGTCTGTTATATGATGACCTCAGTGGTCAAAAAAAAAAAAGTGTCTTTCATCATGGACTTTGTCTATTGACTGATTATGTTGTCTTTTGTTCATTCTTGAACAGAAGTACCACAGCAGTCCCAGCACAATGAAGAAGGCCAGACAGATGCAAACACAGACCTCGAAGGGCTCAGTAAAAGAGAAGGAGGAATAACAAATGCTGTTGCACTGGTCACAGTTGGTGCGGTTTTGACCACCAAACAGCTGGTTGTCCGTCGAGGACTTGCGGTTTTCTTCATGCTGCTTATACTAGCTGGAGGGATTGTGTTAAATGGGGTGCTCACTGGATTTCTCAGAGTATAGTAAGTTCAGGGATTTGTAGGTATTGAAAATGTAAAAAAAAAAAAAAAGCAAATGTAATAGTATTTGATGTAGATGTGTTTTCTTCTCCCATTCTGTTGTTTTAAAACATTGCAGGGGGAAAAAAAAACCTTGACAACTACAGAGATCCTGTTAGTTAAGACATATATATAAGATATATATATTCAGTGAGGTCCGGATGTATACGGACACTGATTGAGTTTTTGTGCTTTTGGCTTTATACTCCATTACAATGGATTTGAAATAAAACAATCAAGATGTGATGCAGACTTTAAGCTTTAATTTAAGGGGTTGAACAAATATATAACATAAAATGTTATATATTTGTATATAACATTTACAATTTTCAGGGGCTCAAATGTAATTGGACAAATAAATGTAACCATAAATAAAATATTCATTTTTAATATTTTGTTGAGAATCCTTTGCAGGCAATGAGTTTCCTCCTTTGTGATGCTTTGCCAGGCCTTTACTGCAGCTGACTTCAGTTGTTGTTTGTTTGTGGGTCTTCCTGCCTTTAGTTTTGTCTTCAGCAAGTGAAATGCATGCTCAATCGGGTTGTGATCAGGAGATTGACTCTGCCATTGCAGAATATTCCACTTTTTTACGTAAAAAAACTCCTGGGTTGCTTTTGTTGTATGTTTTGGGTCATCTGCCATTTGTACTATGAAGCGCTGTCCAATCAACTTCCTGCTCCATTTGGCTGAATCTGGGCAGGGAGTATATCCCTATTCACTTCAGAATTCTTCCGGCTGTTTCTGTCCTCTTTCACATCATCACTAAACACCAGTAACCCAGTGCCACTGGAAGCCATACATGCTCATGCCATCACACTGCTCCACCATGTTTCACAGATGATGTTGTATGCTTTGGATCATGACCTTTTCCAAGCCATCTCCATATTTTTTTTCTTCCCGTCATTCTGGTACAGGTTGATCTTAATTCCAGCCGTCCAAAGAATGTTTTCCAGAAGTGGTCTGGCTTTTTTAGATTAGACATCTAATCTGGCCTTGTTTGCACCTTGTGTTTAACCTTCTGTATTTGCTCTCGTGAAGTCTTCTCTTGATTGTAGACTTTGACAGTGACACACCTACCTCCTGGTGGGGTGGGGGGTGAAAAACTTTTTGAATTTGAAGATCAGGGTAAATTTAACTTAGTTTGTCTCCTGGGGAACATGTAACTATCTTCTGTAGCCTCTGAAGGGTTGTACTAAATGAAAAACATATGATATTTATTTATCTCCATTCTGTTCAAAAGTTGCTCTTAATGCCTTGTTTTTCATCTCAAAATTCTATTGTTGGAAAGGGTTCAAATACACAAAAATGCTGGAAAACCAAAGAATTTGTGGGACCTGAAGGATTTTTCTGAAGAACAGCAGGCAGTTTAACTGTTCAGGACAAACAAGGGACTCATGAACAAGTATCACTAAACAAAAAAACACAGCTGTGGATCATTCAGGTAAGAACACAGTATTAAAAATCAAAGGGATGTAAACAAATAACTAGAGTAATTTGTGTCTGTGAGAGCATGTGTTCCATATTGTAAAAGGTGCATCATGTTCCTGTTTCTATCCCATGTACTTTTCCCTGCCCTTGTGTCTTATCAATTTTCACTAGTAATTAAACTGCAAAAATTAAAAAATAAATACATACATACTGTACATAATGAATCAGAATATTTTTCAGTGAAGTCGCAGACACTGGCCAAGTAACAATATGTAACAGTTTTAATTCCCATGCACAGTATGATCTCCTTTATTTAATATTTGACCAGATTGTAGTTTACTGTGTGACTCTTTAAGATGATTTGAAGATGATTCAACTGAGTGAAAGAGTTTCTGATGAGTCATGACAGATCAGGTTGTTTTATGTGCATGCATAGATCTTCTTCTTCTTTTCTGTAAACTGCTGTCTCAATATAGTAGATTAAAGTAAATTTATAGTTAAAATAAATCATGTTTTTGTGAAATGGTGTACACTGTTATTCACAGGAATTTTCTAGATAAAGCTTCTTCTACATAGAGAGGGTTGACATCACATGATCAGCCGTGTCATGCAAGTACAGAATATAAAGCTTTCAGCCAGTGTTTGTTAATGCAATTTGCAGTTTGTTAATATAATGTTACATATTATTGTGTAAAAATAAAAGTATGTTTCTTTACCTTTTCGTTCTATTTTTTATAATTCATTGTATTTTCCAGAATTAAAAAAATAAAATTCTCTCTCTCTCTCTCTCTCGGTCTCGCTCACTCTTTTCAATTGTTGGCTATTTTACTGTATATGCATTATCAGAGGTGATCGAAAGTAAATCATTGGTGCTCTTTGTAACATACTGTGGGATATTTTGTGGGATTCCCAATTACAGTGTCCCTGATATTTGCTCTCAACATAGCATTCTTGGTAAGAAAATGAAAATGACTTGTGTAAGAACTTGAAATCAGCAGTGTATTAAAAGCTGAATAATAATTATATATATATATATATATATATATATAATGAAGTTCCACAGTCTCAATTGTCTCTATTGAAACTTCTGTTTAAATGCTTTTGCCCCTTTAATGAAACCTGACCCGAGCATGCAGTGACTTCTGTTTATGTAATAACCTAGTGGAGTTCAGCAGGCAGGGCTAAACTTACTACCACATTTTGAGATCCACCCAGACGTCTCCCTGCAATGGACCTTTAGCACAATATCTTTCATGCAGATGTTGTCCTGTATTGTAACCAAATATAAGCTGTTTTGTGTCAAAGACTTTAGAAATAACGAAAATGGACAGTATTAATACAGTAACCCAGATAAACTGGCACTCAAAACCGGAGAAAAGTGATGATGATCAGTCAACGTCAAGTTCACAGGTTGTTTGTGGAGGATGTCGAAAGAAACTCCGGAGTTTGATACCGGTGAATTATAAAGAAGAAATTGTAGAGCTGCTAAAACTGGCTGGACCAGTGGTAAGTATGAAAAGTGTATAGATTTTAAAGGCTCTTTAAACTTTGCTTGTAGACAATCTACTAATCATATATCGAGATGATTTTAATTCAGTGTTGATTGAAAAACGTTTTGTAAAGTTCAAAATTTTAATTTCTTTGAATGGAAAGTTAACCTTGACAATAAAACAAAATAATGTAATTAAATTATAAGTTTTTAAACATAATAGCAATAGGCATGATGTGATCACACTTTAAATTTTGTAGAAGACATAAGAACATAAATATGCATCTTTAAAAATAGACAGATGGATTTAATTAAGTATATCTGTCTGTCTGTCTATCTATCTATCTATCTATCTCTCTCTCTATCTATCTATCTATCTGTCTATCTGTCTGTCTGTTTATAGATTCATCTATATAAACACATTTTCTGAGACTTGTTTATAAAAAATAAGCTGGAGGTTGCACCTGAATGTAAATGAATAGTACGTTTAGCAGAATAATGTAAAATAATTTTCAAATACTTAGTCAGTAGTGGCTGTAATCAGTTTTGTCTCAAGAACAGGGGACATGACAAATCAATATTACAATATTGTAGCTTTAACACTGAATAAAGTGACAATGTCTTGTGGTTGTTATCACATCCTCAAAATGTTTTCTCTCTTCATGCAGTTTATATCTCAGCTGATGATCTTTCTGATCAGCTTTATCAGCACTGTGTTCTGTGGACACTTGGGGAAAACTGAACTGGCCGCTGTGGCTCTGGCTATTGCTGTGAGTTCACAAAATAACTTAATTATGGCAATCATTAAATCTCTCATTGTGTTTGTAAATACATCCTTTTTGCTCACAGGTTATTAATGTGACCGGCATCTCCATCGGCTCTGGATTGGCATCTGCATGCGATACACTCATCTCTCAGGTCTGATAGTGAATGTTCAGTAATGTGAGTGTCGTTTGTACTCAGGTGTCATTTGAATTGAATTGTGTCCTCCAGACGTTTGGCAGTAATAATCTGAAGCGGGTGGGTGTGATACTGCAGAGAGGGATTCTCATCCTCCTGTTGGCCTGTTTCCCCTGCTGGGCGCTGCTCATCAACACCGAGCCCATCCTGCTGGCTGTCCGACAGAGTCCCAGTGTGGCCAGGTCTGACACTTTCAGCATTTACTGGATGTTATGCATTAAATAATGTTCCTGTTTAGCAAAACGTACCTGAATCTGCTGATAAAACACTAGTTGTCAGGATATTTTAATGGAAGTAAATTACAGAAGTATTGTGAAATAAGTTGGTTTAAACACAATGTCATATCATTTGGGCATGTGACAGTCACATGGACCTACAGTTTGTGTCAGTGAAGCTTCTTTAACTGTGTGTGATTATTTTCTCTCTCTCTCTCTCAACAGTCTGTCACAACTCTATGTAAAAATATTCATGCCTGCTCTGCCTGTGAGTGACACATTAAACATTTTAAATGTTTCCACTATAACTATGAATAATTAATAAATTAAAAACTATTCCATTATATGTTCCACAATATGACTTTTAAAAACTATTTTCAGGCAGCCTTTATGTATCAGCTGCAAGGACGGTATCTTCAAAATCAGGTAAACCCAGGCAATGTTTTTCCATTGTTATTTTGCCTGAGTTTAGTGTTCATATATAGCCTACACTGTAAAAAGTGGGAACCAGCAATTGGTACTTTAAAGAGCTATTTTTACCTGATTTAAGCAATAAAATATATGCGAGTGTGTGTTTTAGATATGAAATAATATTTTTGACTTGAATAATAATTGGTCATTTTAATGTTACCATATTTTCAGTATGATGGTCTGTTTTTCTTTGTTTGTTTAGGGTATTATTTGGCCTCAGGTCATCACAGGAGCAGCAGGAAACATCCTCAATGCTTTAATAAACTACATCTTCCTTCATCTGCTTGATCTTGGTGTGCCGTAAGAAGCTGTCTAGATTCTGTTTATCCTGTTTCCATGGATCTTAGTTTGTTTTCATTTATTTCTAAAGAACCAAGGCTTAAAAGTAATAATGAGGTCGCAATAACTTATTGTTTTGTGTGGGGGGGGGTTTCTCATTTTTTCGAACTCACAGAGGATCTGCTGCTGCAAACACTATTTCCCAGTTTTCCTTAGCTGTGTTTCTCTACGTATACATCCGCTGGAAGGACCTGCATAAAGCCACATGGGATGGTGACTGTTTTATTTGGTTGGGTTATTTGAGTGTATGGTTTATTATATAGGACACAAAAGATTTGCTCTGTTTTATAGTGCAATATGACATTCAAAACTTAAAAGAGTCAAGGAATGTGACTGGTAAATGTATTTTCACCACATGCCTTTTCACTACAAGCTAGTTTTGAAATGTTTAAAGGAACACTCCACTATTTTTGAAAATAGGCTCATTTTCCAACTCCCCTAAAGTTAAACAGTTGAGTTTTACTGTTTTCTAATCCATTCAGCTGATCTCCGGGTCTGGCGGTAGCACTTTTAGCTGTAGCTTAGCATAGATCATTGAATCTGATTAGACCGTTAGCATCTCGCTCAAAAATGACCAAAGAGTTTCGATATTTTTCCTATTTAAAACTTGACTCTTCTGTAGTTACATCGTGTACTAAGACCGACAGAAAATGATATTTCGCAGCGCCTGAAAATAGGCTAACTTCCGTCAACATAACCAACGTGACCACCTGCTTGCACAGGGAGCG